CACATGGCATGTCGCAAAACTGGTACGGTATGGCATGATTGCATGGCGAACATAAGTGACTGACCCTAACATGAAAATAATGACATGCGTATCATGTAACAACATCACTACATGCCACGCTCATGATGCGCTCACGGCCGTTTTGCTAGCGTCACATATACCAAATTTGGTATCACAGTACGTGAATGCATAACGAAGGTAGGTGACTGGTGCAAACATGATAACCATGAGATGCGTGTCATGTAACAACATGACTACATGCCACGCTCATGATGCGCTGGGGGCCATTTCGCTAGCTTCATAAACCAAATGTGGTATAGCTTACGTGATGGGATGACGAAGGTATGATACTGGTGCTAAAATGATAAATATGAGATGCGTGTCATGTAGCAACATGACTACATGCTACGCTCATGATGCGCTCGTGGCTGTTCGCTAGCTTCACATGTACCAAACTCGGTATTACGCAACGCGAACACCCGACATAGGTGAACGACACATTCAAACAAGATAGTCACGACATGCGTGTCATGTACCAACATGGCTACATGCACACTGATGGTGCGCTCGCAGTGGTTTTGCTAGATTCACATGCCAAATTTGGCATTACGCGACGCCAATGGATAATGAGACTATGGGACTGGTGAAAACATGATAATCATGAGATGCTTGTCATGTGAATACATGACTACATGTCACAGTCACGGCGCCAATACACCTTGGCGCCGTGACTGTGACATGTTGTCATGTGAACTACGTGACGTGGTGTTAGTGTTCACCGGCGTTCATTTCGTCGCGTCACGCCACCATTGCCACGGCAGGCGCTGGTCGTGCTTTGACGCATGCGCGTTTCAGCCCGTCCTTCGTCCCTACGTCACGAAAAGAGGGAGACACAGCGTTGTCTGGGTAACCCATCGGCGCAAAATGCAGCATGTTGCATTTCGCGCCGGTTGCCGTGGGGCAGCGCCGACGGACGCTGGTCGCGCCTGGCGTCAAACTATAGAGCGCTCGCGTTTTGCTAAGGTATCGTCGCTGTGGCCAGCGTGCGCGCGCGTCAACGCCACATTGGAGTATATTGGGCCCTCAGTGATGCGCTCGCGGCCGCTTTGCTAGCTCCACATACACCAAATTAAGTTTGTCGTGACGTCAATGGATGACGAAATATATGACTGACGCAAACACGATAATCCTGACACGCGTGTCATGTAAGAACATGGCAACATTCAACGTTCATAGCGTGTTCTCGGCCGTTTCGCTAGCTCGACATATACAAAATTTGGTATCACATGACGTGAATAGATGACGAAGGTAAACGACACATCCAAACATGATAATCATGACACGGAACTCATGTACGGCATCATTTACCTCCACCTCGTAACACTGTGCTGATTTTACAGTGACATATCAATATTTCTTATTCGTGCTTCGCATATCATCGATTCCCACTGTACGTGGGATCTGCCAATTTTTTTTCAAGTGACACTTCTGAGATTGAAATTATTTTATCAACCTTTATTTTATTTATTTTTAACTTTTAACAAGATACATATTTCAAAAGAAAGGAACTATGTTTTGCCTTCACTAAACCGGAGCGTGGGACCTGTCCCTGTTGTGGAACTAAATTTAGGAATTGTGTCTTTCTTGCGGTATTATTATTTGGGTATTCGCGCACGTAACACGTAGACACTCTACCAATATGAGCAATATGAAATACAAATTTACTAAGCGATAATTGACAGACATTTCAAGCTAGGGTGTTGATGAAATTTACCTATATAGAGAAAACGATTCGGCGGGAAAACACCAGGACTAACTAAATTGGCAATTGGCGCTCGTCACGTTCGGTATAACATTGAAGTGAAGTGATGCACGCATATATGTTCATATATATATATATATATATATATATATATATATATATATATATGTATATATATATATATATATATATATATATGGTTCCCACAAAATGCCTCAATGAACAACCAAGTTTGAGACACGAGGAGTTGTACAATTGTATGGAAAACAAGTAGGCTTTTTTGCTTTGGTTTCTTCAATCTATTCAGGTAGTCTGCAGGTTGGTTTGGAAGGGACTGATAATATATTGTTATGCGGAGTCAGTCTTTTTCTTTCTTGAGAGCTTCAAACATTGCAGATTGCAGGCTTCTCACACTTCGTTACGTTGAATAATGACGCCAGTTTTCAGTGCTGATTTAAAATCGCTTCTGGAAATAAATACTTTAGTGAAAGCAAAATCTGCCAAATATGTATGTAGAAAGACGTTGGTTTGTGCGCCCAGACTCGATGAACGTAGTTTATGTCATGCTCTAAATAGCTATGTATGTAATTCCCAAGTATTTTTAATAGTTCGACTAATTTCAGCTCATCAATGACCGGTGGACCAGAATTTAGTAGATCCAGTATTTAAGGAAGGAGCAGCTCCCTGTCCTCGTGTAGACAACTCCAAGACGGACGCCGGGTCATTCCCAGTACACACATGAATGACTTTTAGACATCGATAGGATAACCGCCTTGGCACTGGCAGGCCGTTCCACGCGTCAGGATGCTGTGCAAGCGGGGACTTTCCCACACATCACCTCATTTAAAGAGCGTAAACGTGAAGGACGTGTCGGCACGTGACCAGGAAGAGTGGTATATAAGGGGACGCCGTTCGCCACTGAAGACCACACAATCATCTTTGCTGCCAGCACAAAAAGATCCTACGGTGAGTGCATTGAAAACATCAGTTCAGTGAGCCTAAAGCGTTTGTTCCTATCGCCTATCGCAAAAACTTAACAGTGCTCGCTTGTTTTATGATGTCTCGCATAGACTCTGTATCGAGCTTTACCCTCATAGCATTGGGAATTGGTAGTCAAAATAGGTTAACATTGAATGCTGACATTTCAAGCACAATTATACTTACGGTAGCAAACAGGAAGCTGTTACGTGCGAATAGTGCTGTTCATGGTGACTTAAACAATATTTCTCAGTGCATTCTATATTTAGCTTATATCATTGGAAGCTATGCTTTTGTATACGGTTGTGGCATAATTGTTTGTGTCACATCATAACGAGGATGTCATCTATTCAAGGCTTAATAATAAGTATAGTTCATAATTGCTGGACTTAACGTCTCAAAATCACTATGTGATTATGAGAAATGTCGTAGTGGAGGGCTTCAAAATTTTTGACCACATGAGGTTTTCTTCACGTGCACCTAAATCTGAGCAGACGAGTCTCAAGAAATTGTGCCTCTATCGAAAATGTGGCCGCCGTGGCCAGAATTCAATCCCGCGACATGCGGCTCAGTACCACAGTACCTCAACCACTAGACCACTGTTGCGTGTTACATGCAAACCAGACAGTAAATTAAAGGAAATGTGTGGTGATTACGTGCAACAGTATAATGAACGCTAATATATATCTAGGCTAGAGTATTAGGAAGTAATTTCACAAAAGTGAAATCGGTCACGAATGGAACGTGGAAGTAGCATACCATTTTAAAGTCACTGACAGTGGTGTTTGCACCAATAAAAAAAAAGACAGTGGCAAACTAATTCAAATCATTCAGGTAGGTTGTCTAAGAGAGGTTAGAAAGATAATATACATTTCAAAAAGAACCTCAGAAAAGGCTAAGTGTCTGTCACACTATTTCGTGCAGGTCTCTCTGTAAGTATGGCTCGTAAAATTCACCCTATTTTGTTCTTCAAGCAATGTTCATAGAGATCCAAGATCTTGATGTTTTTCATCCAATGTATGACGCCGTCTCATTTGCGCTCTGGGAGAGACGCCGTACGTGAAAGCAGAGAAGTTTTCCGGTCAAATGTATTCAAATTCTTAAAGCGAAGTGGCATGAGGCTAGGCCTTCTCCGATATTCTTGGAGAACCAGTTATAGGCTACATAATTTTGGCAATCCTCACTACACACCACTCGCCCCCTAACATGAAAAATGCATGATCGCCCACTCATAATTAAGATTCGTGCAATACTATAGTTCATGCGGCAAGCAGGGCAAGGAGCAACGCATGTCCTGAATCTTAAAATGCTGCAAAACAACACATGTTGCTCAAATTACTCTAAACAATCGTGCCCAACACAAGGGCACGCGAAAAGGCAGTGAAGATGACGTATATCGCGCCACAAAAAACTTATGGGGCTCAATAGCAAGCCTTTCAAGTGTATTAAGCTACAACAAGGTGCTTAATTGGGCTGGTTGGTGCTGCATGGTAGACGACGATGCGGTGGCGCTGTGGTGCACACAATGGGTAAGACACCTGCTTCACGTGGATGTGGTCCCGAGCTTGATTCCAGGGCTGTGCTTTGCATGTTAATCTCGCAAATGTAGGTGATCGTAATACTAACGGTTTTCTAATTACCTGTAGTCATAATATCAGCCGCATTCTCGGTGAGAAACCACTCTGAAGAGCCTAAAAATATTTTAGCTCTCTGTTCTCGTCTCTTCTATCCCCTCGTGTCGTTTGCGCTGTTAAGCACGTTCTTGGTATTAAGCTAAATTTAAAAGCCCCTTTTCGGACAGACATTTCGCATTAAGAATTTAGTTGAAGGGGGTGTCTTTCGCCTATGGTTCGGAGCTCTGTGTGACAGCTGTTTTGTGGGTGTAAATTGTTCGTTCATCATGCACTTTCGCAGGTTGAAATGGCTGACATTATCGTCTGCTCTGTCGCAGGCTCAGCGCATTTTAACTGTCACTACTAGTGCACATTTACGACTTCGTAACTACAGCACAATGTTCACAATGCAGTACTCACTGTGATTTTAGTCTAGGGGTAGCATATACACAGCTGAGTTCGACAAAAACACTCATTAAAGTACAACATTATTAGCCAAAATTGTGTATGTTTTTTTTGCACTTCTATGAAGTGCACTTGTAGATTGCCATGAATGCTCACAAGGTCATGCGGTCATGCAGAAATGCTTCAGACAAGTGAACTGGTTTCTAGTTTTAAGCATAATGTTTGTGATGTTTATCTCGCAGCTAGCCACAGCCATGATTGCCGTGAGCAGCAAGTCCTTCCTCCTCGCCCTGTTGGTGCTCGCTGTCGTCTGCAGCATGGCCGCTGCCCAGTTCGGCTTCGGACGAGGAGGCTTCGGAAGAGGCTACGGTGGCTACGGAGGAGGCTTCGGTCGTGGATACGGAGGAGGCTTCGGCCGCGGCTTCGGCGGATACGGCCGTGGATTCGGAGGCTACGGACGCGGATTCTACGGCTGAGCAGATCGCTTGCATGAACAACGAAGTAACACAGGCAAGAACGGTGGACACGTGTGGATGTTTTGCAGAAGCAAACAAGAAAAATAAATTATTTATTTTTCTGAGTATCTTCTTTTCCATGCATCTGTTACCTCATGTCCTGTATTCACTAAAGCGACATACCGATTTACTATAATTAAAAAATATATTTGTCTCGTAACAGTGGCTGAGGAGAGGTGTCAACTCGCACATATGGACATATCTTTCAAAAGACATAGAGATGTTGTTACTTCCATAATTACAAAACAAAGTATTTTGGTATGTGGGATTGTTACAGCTGATATTTTTTACATCAATTGCCTGACAATTTATATCAGGAGTGGCAGTACTTTTGCTTGCAGTGTAACTGTTTTTGAAAAGTCGCATAGATGTTGGTTCCCTGATGAATATTCAAATATTCATAGTTGTGCACATTGAGAAAAGTGATGACATGTATTGTTTCACTGATTAAACATTCTTTGTTTGATCAAGGTCAATCGATGATGCTCACAAAATTGCTATGAGACCCCCACAGGTGCCAGCTCACCAGTGCAGAGACCCAGTTAAAAAGGGCCCTCATTTACAGTTATGTGGCATTCCTACCAAGAAAAAGTAACAATGCCGAATGGCGTTGACGTTTCGACACCATGGCAAAGTGCTACAGGCTCCTGTAGTGTTAAATGTCAGTGCACGCAAAGGAACACCGAATGATCAAAATATCTGCAACTCTTCATTATGACATCCCTAATATTAAGAAAGATTGCTCCTCGGTTCAGGTGGTCATCCATCAACGTAGTGTGTAATAGCGTGGCATATATTACAAGAAACACATTACAGACATAAAGAATTGTAGGCGCGTAGCGAAAAATGAGCACCCACCTTTCTCTCGTTTACGTCCTTTTTCTCTCTTGTATATACCACGCTATTACGCGCTACCCCTTAATCGTATAGCAGTCACGGAGCGCAAAGGTGAATAATAGTATCATTCTTGCACCAAGGTGTCAGCGATGTGACAAGCACCTCTCGGCGCTTGTCGAAACATCTAGTTTTGTCAGTGCGCGCCGTAAATGTATCACCAAATGAGACCAGCGGCTTCGAAGATAAATGACGCAACCGTAACAAAGAACAAAAATATCCATGCAAAGAACGCGCATGCATGAGCATAGAGATACAGTGTGTCCACAACTTCATCAGCCCGGCTTTTATGTCGCAACGCAAACATAAGTTTAAAGCCAGCCTTTTGGCGAAATAGGATGTAAATGCACAGGTAATGAGGCTTGCTTCATGGGGAAAACACGCATGCGCAAACCATGGCTATATTTCTGCACCGCACCTTAGATTTATGTATAGGCTGATGATACCCAAAGACCGAAAAATCCAGAGTTCTCCTGGAATGTCAGTTTCATGCAAACCACGACGTGCAACTGGAGCGGGACCAAGCCCAAAGAATAAACGACGACCACTTAATAGAAACGTGGGAGGCCAAGCTCCTCCTCGAGGACCTGGAAGACCAGAGACAACTTGTCACCAGGGTCAAGTTGATTGATTTGTAAGGTTTAACGTCCCAAAACCACCATATGATTATGAGAGACGCCGCAGTGGGGGTCTCCGGAAATTTATACCACCTGGTGTTCTTTAACATGCGCCCAATACTGAGTACATGGGCCTACAACATTTCCGCCTCCATCGGGAATGCAGCCGCCACTGCCTGGATTTGATCCCGCGACCTGCGGGTCAGCAGCCGAGTACCTTAGCCACTAGACCACCATGATGGGGCGTCGCCAGGGCGAAGAGGGCAGTCAAAGCCAGAGGGTTCCTGGACTAGGGAACCCTCCCACCTTAGGGTGACACTGGGCCCTGCTCAGAACACTGTTTTCTAAATAAACGTTTATTTCTCTCTCTGCCTCTGCCCTACGGTGTCACTCATAATGATATCCTGGATTCAGTACATGAACACCACCACTTACTTTTATTTAGTTGCGTTCCCCGGCCTGCAAGTGGCCGCATATCCGGTGTTCCTAATTATTTTGCTAGAACCCTGATCTTGCAAACGCAGGGGCTGTGTACAATGATTCCAACTTTATTCTTGTCCTTGGACAGCTTTCTTCCTCAAATATAAACTGTCGGGTCTATAAGCACTTCTGAAGAATGCCATCTAAAAACTATAGTGAAAGCAAAAACACAAATCGAGAAACCTATGAGATTCCTACTGAGTGACTTCTGGGAAACCGTTAACAGACCTGCTCCGTAAAATAACTTTCTCTCGGCATATACGATGAAATATGAAACAGAGGTTTCGCACTCCGTCAACTACTTTTGTGTGCTCATAAGCATGAGTATTGAAATTACGATAACAGCTGCAGTTTAAAAGAAAACAGAAGGGGTGTTATATGAAGTATCATCTCATTATTCACAAAATGGGGCTGTTTATTATCCACCTGATACAACTATTGAAGAAAAAAACAGTTCAGGAGCTTTTCTTTTATCGGGAAGACGGTGGGAAGCCAAGCTTGGCGTAGGTGGGTCTGTTCTGCAGCTTTCTGTTTTTACATTTTTTGTTCGCTTTTTAGCAGCAATGCTGTTTTTAGTCGAAGCTTTCAGGTCTCAGGTCAGCGTAGAACTGAACACGCGGCCTCGTATTGTGGCGAGTGTGAGTCTTGGTAATAAGAGCAAGGCTGCATCATGCTGACGGAGGGAGGTAAATGCTTGCTGGCAGAAGCGAGGATGGATGTTGTCAAGGGCGTGGTGCGAGAGACGTGGACGAGACTGGAAGATTTATAGGGGTGAACTTTGAGAAAGGGCAAAGATAGGGTGATCGCGAGGCGCCGTGGATTGTAAAATTGCATATCAGTGCCGGTGTTCAGAAGTTCACGCTTTCAAAATGGCGAACATATCTCCCTCTCATGATCAAGAGTTCGCCCGATGTGAGCGTCGGCGAAAGCTGACCAACCCAACCCCAATGTTTCCAGAAAAGCTGCCAAATCATAGGCGTCAACTAACGGAAGACTTGAAAAAATATAAAAGTACGATACAGCCTGATGAAAAACGCGCATAAGCTTCACATTTTTGAAAGTGTTCAATTGGAGCTGGCTGTGCTTTCTTTGTTTGCTATATCAATTAAATTGACACTCTATTCTGGAATTTGCCGCCAATGTCGGCGTCGCCGTCATTTACCGTATATGTATAGGTATTTATACATGTATGAGAAACTGCAAGAAAGAAAAGGAATTCAGAAAAAGACCTGGTGCGTGGAATAGAACGTATCGGACCTCTTGCTTGTGAGTGTGAGGCATGAGCCACTGAGCCACGAAGGAGCATCTCTTTCAACATTGAAACGGCAAGCAATTTACACTCTAAAAGAATCGATCAATCAATCAATCAATCAATCATTTTATTTTGTTTAGATAAGGTGGTTTACAGGACTAAAAGCTCAAAAGCTTGACGAGCTCCTGACCCCGTTCACAAGTTGGCAAAGCAGCAGGAATGGCAGTCAATCATGTACAACAAATATGAAATAAACCTACAGGTATAACATCACAAAAAAGTAATACAAAAAGTTTATGATAACAGTGCTAAGATAAAAAGATAGTAGTTCAAATGTATGGTCATAAAGTGGCATGAACAGGAAAAGCAATAATAAAAAGGAAAGAATGGGCATAAATTCTGAGAGATGTATCATTGAGGATAATGTATCAGTTGGGCGAAGTGTTTAATCTGACAGTTTTGTTTGGAGGAAGGATCGAAATCTTCGCGCTTTAAAAAATTTAACAAAGAAGGTAGTCTGTAGGACAATGATTGTTTGTCATAAAAGGTTTTTGGGGTGGGTACAGTAAAAACTTCTTTGTGCCTGGTGTGTCGAACACTTGTGTTTACGCTAAGTTTAGCAAGATGTATTGTGGTATTGGTACAATGTTTGACAAACTCTTCATAGCATAACATCAGCCTGTAGTTGTTCAAAAAGAACAACTGGAAGAATATCATATTTTAGAAAAAGAAGTTTTGTAGAGGACAGATAGTGTTCAGAAGCAATATGTCGTACGGCCCTTTTCTGTAGTAAGTGCAACTTGCACAAATTCGTCACACTGGTTGTGCACCACACTAAGCTACAGTTCTGGAACAAAGATGATACCGGTGCATTGTATATTATAATTTTGACCTTAGTGGGAAGAAGAGATCGCATACGTGCAAAGACACCAATGGCCGATGACATCTTAGAGTATAGAATATCAACATGTACATTCCACGTAAGGTGTCGTGAAAAATATACACCAAGAATACTAACAGAATCAACCATGTTTAACTGCTGAGAGCCCAGAAACAAGGTCATCTTATTTATCAAGGGTTTTCCTTTAGGCGTATATAAAATGACTTGTGTTTTTGAAGGGTTTAGTTTTAGTAAATTCACTGAAGCCCAGGTATCTATAGCAGACACTGTTTCATTAGCCATTTCTTCTATCTCTGTTTCCATGCTCCCTGTAATAAAAACTGTTGCGTCATCGGCGTAAGAGACAAATGTTGCGTTGCTTGTGCAGTGTATAATGTAAATATTAAAAATCAAAAATAAAAGTGGCCCTAAAGTACTTCCTTGTGGCACACCTACAACAACCGGCTTCCTTGCAGATATTTCATTGTTGGCATCTACGAATTGTGTCCTGTCTGAAAGGTAGGATTTTGAAAGAGCATGCGCTGTCCCACGCACACCATAGTTTTCTAATTTGCTGAGAAGGATAGAATGATTGATTAGGTCAAATGCCTTAGAAAAATTGACGTATATGCCTAATGCCATTTTTTTACAACTAAATGCATCTATGATTATTTCTTTATGAGTCAAGAGGGCTGTTTCAGTAGAGCGATGCTTCCTGAACCCGTGTTGAAAATCTTGAAGCAAATTGTGGTGATTAAAAAATGATAACAATCTGATATACATTAATTTTTCCATTGCTTTTGAAAACACTGGGATTATTGAAATAGGTCGATAACTG